CGCTGCAAGCCGTGAAAACGGTGTCGGCTCTGGTTAATGATTGTAAGAGAACATTAAACACACTGAGTTGTAATAACAGAGTCTCTCTGATCTAGGTCCCGGGTCACTCTGGGGTTGCTGGCAATGAAGCGGCAGATAAGCTAGCACGAGATGGCAGCGCTGAAGCGTTTGTGGGGCCGGAACCAGCAGTTGGTGTATCCAAATATAGGATTGGACTGTGGGCTGAAGAGAGACTTCGCCTACTGTGGACCAGTTCTCCTGGAATGAGACATGCTAAGGTGTTTATTAACATCGTCACTGTCAAACCCGGGAATATTTTAGGACTTAGCATAAAAGTTCTAATGGGTGTTTTTACTGGGCACTGCTGATTAAAAGCATACCTCAACTTGTTGGGTTTAGCCGACGATGTTGAATGCCGACTATGTGCGGAGGAAGCAGAGACGGTTGAGCATGTTTTATGCCATTCCCTGCCGTTAACCGTATCAGATTCTCGATTTTTGGGTCGCCTCAAAAGTTCTGAATGACCTTTCGCCGAGCAAGGTATTAATGTTCGTTAAGAACATTGGACTGCTTAATGTAATGTAATGTATAGAAGACTAAAAGCTATATACTACATTCAGAGACGCTGCTCTCCTCCAACTACGAAGGTCATTAACCTTAATAAATACAAATACTTACCATATCTATTAAAAACAACATCGACGTATCTTTATCGAACCAATGCCCGTGATCTATCCATTGCCTCAATAATTCAATGGGTGGTTGAGCACCATATTGTTCTTTTTGAGGCATTCCAACATCGTCGACAAAAAGAACACATAGTTTCCCCATTGACGGTCCAAAAACACCTCTTCTTCGCTTATCCAATTTGGACATAATAATTTCTTGAGTCTACAAATTAAATTAAAATTAACTTATTTTAAGAAATTAGTAATTTTATTAATTTACCATCGTTGAAGTGGTTCTAGCACTAAAATTGACAACATTGGCTAGATATTTTTCTTTGGGTAAATTAACCATGTGATCCAAAACGATCGCCGATTTTCCCGTTCCGGTCGGTCCAACGAATAACGCAGGGATAGCATTTTTTAGGCAAAGGTTCAAAAAGAATTTTTGACAAATTGAATCGTTCGTTTGTACGATTACTTCGTTGACATTGGCCGTTGGTGGTATAACTTGTTTTTGGTCTAAAGTATCCGCCCAAACGACCCAAGTTCCATTATTACGTTTATCATAAACGTAATCGAATATCAATCCTCGTTCGGGATGTAATTGGTTTTTGGTTAATTTAAATGATTTTGGTTTTGGGTAAGCTTTGTTTTCGCCTAAGGTTAATTTACGAAAAAATACATCGAAAGTTTTTCGACCGTCCAAGCTTAACGTTGATGCTAAACCCCAGGTTAAAGCGAAAAGCATCGCGCATTGAAGCCAAATTGTACTCACTTGAGTTTCTTGCACCAACATGCCGGATAATAATCGCGTGAATGAGAAAAATAGATGGATTTCGGATGTGTGTACGTAAATTTTGCATTCTAATCGGAAGCAATCTAATAGTGGGGGTACCAACCATAATAAACATTCTTCTAAAAGTTCTAATTGTTCAGCCAATAAAGTTTTACTTAAGGTGTTTAGATAAGACGTCATAAAAGGCTGCCAACCCAATAGGTGCGATTCTAAATAAATCATACCGCATCGTGAAACGGTCGCAGGAGATGCAAATTCTAAATCTTCCGGTTCAAAAATTAAATTCATCTTATTCGACATTTGGATAATTTCGCCGGACATTAAGCATAATTTTTTGTTATCATCTAAAACAGTGTTCATATTTTCGATCCAAACTGCATCAACTGGTCCATCAAATAATATCCATTTTCTATCCATCGTCTGTGAATTTGCATACTCGCGGAATGTGGTGGCTAAAACCCCGTCGGACCACTCGTGAGAAGCAGGATCAAATTGGCCGTATAATTTCCCCATTGAAATCGCTTTCGGATTGATTATTCGATATACAACTCGAACTTCTTTTAAAGTAGCCGTTCTGTCGGCTGCTAATTTTCCTAAAGCTTCCCCTAACGATTGATAACCTTGAGTTTTTCCAGCCATGTGATTACCAACAATCATCAATCCATGTCTTACTAAAATCATCTCATAAACTTGCATAACTTTTCCAACATACCATGGAGTTGGTTGTAAATTTCTTTTAACTAATTCTTCAATTAAACAATCAATCAATTCAGTTCGATCAAACTTTGGTACTTCAACACCAGGAAATAAGTCAGAGTAAATTCCGGCAAACAAAGGAAGATCTTGACCTAAAAATTTAGGTAAATTTACATCAATAATCGCCCGTAGTACCAACGGAGCTTCTTCGAATTTAGAGTAAGCCCGTTTTAAAGCCCCCGCGGCCAATAAAACCGATTTAACGGCTCTCATTCCGTAATCGTAATGATTTTGCGATGAGAGTTGTTCCGAACATAATTTGTAAGTATGAACTATTTTTTGCGCTAAACTTGCGGCATACGTAAAACCATAAGAATACAAGGAAATTTCTCCAATCATCGCGTAATCAGGCACCATCATAGCAACAGTTCGAAATAGAACCTTTAAATTATCCGGAAGTTCTTGTCTTCCAGCATATCCGGGATTCATCGTGATAAAACAAGTACAAGTCGGGTCAAGAACCAATTCGGTTCCTTCAAACACAAATTTCTCTAATTTCGCGGCAACAGCCATTTGAATCGTTAAGATTTGTTGCGCTACGACTGATAAAACTTCTAATTCTATGCGATTAAACTCGTCGAAACATGCCCAAGCACCCGATTGGGCTAATCCTTTAAAGAACTTTCCTAAAGCTTTGTAATCCAAACCATCCGAACAATTAAAGACAACGCATTTTTTTGCAACCGCTTTTGCCAAATCTTTGCAGGATTCTGTTTTTCCGGTTCCAGCTGGTCCTTCTGGGGCACCACCCAAATTTAATTTGAATGCACCCATTAAAGTTCTAAAAAAAATAATAAATTAAGTGTAAATATTTATTACTTATTCATATTAAAACTTAATTTTTCATCTATAAATACAAAATATTCGAATTAAATTGCAATTTAAACTTTTTGTCCGAACATGTCTAAACTAGTGGTGGAACAGATATCCGGCAACTATTCGCCTTTGGTCTTAGTACTCCACCATTCACAGGAATGGTTTGATTATTAGTGATTTTAATCCAAACCCTGCTAAACCCAAACACATCAACCGATTCACATTTTCGTCTAATTTTATTTTCTATCATAATCTGCGTCCCCAAGAAGGATTCCTCACTTTCCGACCCAGCATATGTAGACCAATTATTAATAAGCATTTTATTGTTTTTAATATTTACAATTTTTATCCCCTTAATACATTCTAATATATATATTATTAGTATATTATTTTCACCCTTTACCCTCTTCCTCCATTTCCATACCCTCGGCTCCTCGGCCCAATCATCCCCTCATCCTTCCCTTTGTCTCCTTACCCCCACAACCATTCTCATCCATCGTTTCCCCTCTCCCCCCTCTCCTAAGATCTGCCCTCGGTTCAACTCCTCCTCCCTCAACTCACTGCACCCATTCAACATATGTTCCAACGTTTCCCATTCCTCCCTGCATAGCCTACACCACCTCTCCTCATCGGCCATCCAGTATCTGTTAGCTCTCTCCTCGTTTCCACAACGGAACCTAGCCACCAACTTCTTCCCTTCCTCATCTCCTTCCAATAACAAGTATCTAGGCAGCCCCTCCGTTATTATGTCCCTGTACCTTTCGTTATACCTCCCCTCTTTTATTTGTGTCCTTCTTTCCTGTCTCTGCACATCTCGGTCCCTATCTCTCAACTCCCTCCACATCTCCCTACCCACCCTTCGTCTACTATTTATCTCAGTTACCGAGTAGCCCACTCGTCTATAATAGTTGTCTCTGTCTCCTTTCCCATATCTGATCTTTCCCTCTCTAATTTCCCTCCAACACTCCCCCAAGATCCCGCAGTTTGGCCTCCCTTCTATTCTCTCTTCATATTTCACTGCTCTCCTGCCCGCCTCCACTCTGACCTTATCCACCTTTACCTCTTCCCTCACTATATACCCCGGTGTTTCTCTCGCCACCCCAAGCACCCATCTCCAGTATCTAGCTTGCACGTCCTCCAGCATTGCCTGCTCTCTCCATCCCCATACCTCTGCTCCATACATCATCACACTGCTAACCAGGATTTCAAACATAATCTTCCTCGCTGCCACATTCCTTCCACCAACCCTCCCATTTGCCCCTTCCCCAATCTACCCTCCAGGTCCACCGTATACAGTGCAAACAGACTTGGGCTCAGCGGACATCCCTGCCTCAGTTCCTTCGTCGTCCAGAAGACGTCGCTCAGCTTATCTCCCACCTTTATTCTAGCCACAGTCTCCATGTATATTTTCTTCACTCTCGCAATTAGGTGTTCCGTGATCCCCCTCCTCCCCATCTCCTCCCACAACTTTCCCCGTATCCACCTTATCAAAAGCTGCCTTCAAATCTATAAATAGGGCGTACAATTTCCCTCCCTTCTTATCCAGCTCTCTATCTGCCAGATGCTTCAACACGTACACGTTGTCGATTGCTCCCCTTCCCTTCCGGAAGCCTGCCTGCCCATCCGGCAAAATTCCCCCCAACTCCATCTCCTCGTCCAGTCTTCCCAGCAGTATCTTCGTGTATACCTTGTATGCCGAGTCTAGTAGGTTAATTCCTCTGTAGCTCTCTACCCTTCCCTTATTACCCTTTTTATATACTGGGCAAATTACCCCCACTTTCCATCCCTCCGGAAACCCACTCCCTCTCCATAGGCTATTCATCCCCTCCAACAACTTCACTCTCACCACCCTTGATGCTTCCAACCATGCCTCGTTCTGGATCCCATCTTCCCCTGGCACCCTTCCCTTCTTCAATCCCCTAAGCACTGCTTCCATCTCCTCTTCTGCTATCTCCTCTCCCCCATCTCCCTCATAGCCTCCCAAACCCGTTAGCCTCGTTTCAACCCCTCCCAATAATCCCATAAAGTAACTCTTCCAATCTGTCATGTGTATTTCGCTGGTTATCCTCTCCCTACCCTTCTTTCTCTTTTTCAGATACCTTCAGACCTCCCTTTCCCTTGTTATCCTTCTAATCTCTGCCGCCTCCTTCTCCCTCAGTTCTGTTTTCTTTCTACTGCATAACTCTCTGTATCCTCTCCTGGCCTCCGTATATCTATTCACCCCTATCTTCCCCCGTCTCCACTGCCTCAACCTCCTTCTCGCCTCCCTCTTCGCCTTCCTACACTCGCCATGATACCAGTCGTTCCTCCCTACTCTGCCGCCCCTACGTACACACTCCGTTTTCAGTGTTGCCTCCCGCACTACCTGAATAAGTTCTTCCCAACCATTGATCTCTTGTATCTTCTGTTGCCAAGTGTCGAGGTTTCCCCTGTAGAATGCTACCCCTTCTTTCGACCAGTTTGTCCTGATGAACTTGCTCGCCTTCTACAGCCCACCCCCTTTATCTCCACCTCCAACGGTTGGTGATCCGACTCTACCGCTTCTCCCACTTTAAACCTTTCCACCCTCTCCCACATTTCCTGATCCACCAGTACATAATCAATCACAGATGTCCCCCTCGCCCCGATGTACGTATACTCCCCTTCCTCTTTATTTCCATTCAGTATCTCCCATCCGTTCTCCTCCACCCATCTCAGCATTTCTGTTCCTTCTCCATTCCGCACAGTATCCTTCGACCGCCGTGGTCCCTCCTCTCCCCATATCTCCACCCTTCCCCCTTCCTCGCCCACTATACACCGTAACTATCTGCACCGTCTCTCTCCCCCCCAGCTGATCTGTCTTTTTACCATTCCCTTCTGCCTCCATCTCCCCTCCGTCTTATTCTCCTCCGTAATTCCTCTCGCTATTCCTGTTATAATACCCCCGCACGCTCTTCCTCTCTTACTTCTCCTCTCTGCAAACACGCAATCCCTATACCCTATACCCTTCTGGCAACTTTCCCTCAATCTTTGCCCACCCTCCTTCATCAACTCAGGTCTCCACCATACAAATCACCTCAAATCTCTTCAGATATTCCCAGAACTGCCCTCCCTTATTCGTAATCCCCGCTACATTCCAGAACACCATTTTCAACCCCTCGCTCTTCTCCGGCTTCTCCCCTCCCCCGTCTAGTTTTTTGATAAAATCCCTTGCTGCCCTCTCTTCATGTCGTCATAATTAATACTTCTCTTCACCAACTCCGCCGCTATGTAGACCAATTATACAATATGGATCTATACTTTTAAATCGTTCGTCCATAACACGAATAAGGAATCCCCAAAATCCTCTTTTCAACCCTAGCAATGATCTCCTTTATAACCCCACTAATATCCCTCCCATTAACTTCCGTCTGCAATCTTTATCTTATAAAATTACCCTAAATTTCCCTACCAATCTTCTCCACCATATGCTTATTATCCCTAGAGTAAACCACCCATCTGACCACTCACCACTCCTTCAAAATAATATACAAATATATAATTTGCGTTAATTAATTATATTAGTCTAAACTAATTGTAAGAAGAGTTAAAAATATAGCTTGGAAGGCCAGACTTACAATTAGATGGCATGACCACATCTATTAACAATAAAAAAACCGGTTCGCAATGAACTCTTTCTTTAATAAAAAACCGGATCCCAACAACATCGAATTCTCTTTACTTGGAGTTTATGTCTTAGACTTATTTTTAGGGTTATTATTCTATTACAGACATGTACATAAATTACCTGAAACATCGATCTGTTAAAGGTGTAGCAACTAATCTTCCAAGATTTCCCAAATATTCAAATCCATAAGCGACTTCCGTAGTTATCATACAAACACCAACGTAATTAGTCTGCCAATAAAATCTCATTTGGGAAATCCATGCGAAATCGGCTATCGATTGAACTTTTGCCATATTTAATTGTTTAACGATATCGCGAGCTACAAAAAAATGAAAAAATTAACCCAAAATAAAATTTAAAAAAAAATTAAATTACCATGTACGTCAATTACAATTAGAGCTTCAATTGTGATTTGGGTGCTCGGCTCTAATTTTCCTTGAACCATTTCGACGCAAATTTTTATTTGTTCGGTACAAAGCGCTACTTGATTATCCAAAGTGTTGTTTGTTATCGCTTCCGTAACGTCTGTGGTCCATATTATGCAATCGCAAGCTTGGATAATTTGTCCAGGCCAGCTTAGTATCCATTCTTTTCGCGATTGTGGAGTAAAAGCTTTCACCGCAAAATTCATTATGTCTTTCATTGATTGAAGCATTATTAGTTGAACTTGAAGTAGCCATTTTTCAACCATACCCTAAATTAAATTAAATTAAATTTGATTTTCCATTTTTTGGCAATGCTTACTTTAGATTCTGCCGGGACAATTTTCGAACTTAAATTAACAACCTCATTATCAGCAGATATCATTCCTATAACTTCTTCTTGTGGAGTAAACTTTAATAGGTAAATGCCTTCGAAACATTTTTTCAAATGAGGTTGTACTCTTAAAGGATCTTTCGTTTCCGAGAGAATTTCCAGGAGTTCGTCGTTGGATAAAAAGAAGAATCTTGGGAAATAAAGCCGTTTCTTCTCGAGGTAATTATTTAGTCCTTTTTGAACTTGGTCCAAAAGATTATTGCAGTCTCTCAATTGTTGCAACATATTCGGGTAATCAGTCGCTGCTAAAACGTGTATGTCCAACATTGTGTTTGCCATGATGTGCCTCCAAGTTTTATCGACTTGTTTGAAATTTCTTGCTTCCGTTGGCATCTGCCTCATTATGTCTTCAGAACTAAAAATTGGTTCTAAATACATCCATGTTGATTGACACTAAATTAAAAAAAAAACAATTTTATTAATTATTAAAACGAAGAATTAAAACTTACCAATAACCAAGCTTCTATGATGTCTTGCATTGAGACTAATTTTTCTTCCCAAAGTTGCACCTCCTTCTCGAAAGCTTTAACATATGGAGATCCCCTCATCGTTTGTGCCTTGAGAATATTATCATCTAACATCACTTGGATGTCGTCTAAAGCCGTTAAAATACAAACACCAGTATCTCTATACGGCACCAATTCGAAAGTAACATCGGCCCAATCCTCCTTCATCTTCGCCATGCCTTTTTCTAAGGCATACTCTTTCGTTGCAGCGGCGCTTAATTCTTCTAATTTCGGGATAAATTTAACCAAGCCGGCTTCAATCATATCATTTAACGTCGACTGGTCGGATACTTTTAAGTCAATACCAACAATTTTTGAAATCTAAAAGTTTAAATTTAAACTAAGTTTTAACTAAAAAATAAAAAAAAATTATTACCTCCTTCCAATGTCTATCTTGCAACCCTTTATTACAAACAGTTTGTAAAACGGGAACAAACTGCCTAAATTTCTCAACTTTTGCCCTCGCCAAATCAGCGATTCTTTTCGCCCCGGGGTTATTATGAAACGTTTTGGATAATTTATAAAGGGTTCTCCACATATTTTCAACATCATCTTTAATTTGATCTGCGTCCAACTCTTTGAACGGCCCATAAAACCAAATGTCGTAGTTATCATGGAAACTAGCAACGGTATGCCACAAACGATCAAATGGCTCGATGGTTGCTATCATTTCTTGTAAATTCATAAACGGGGATGGATCGAAATCTAATAATTGTTCTTCTTCGTTAATTTCGAGCGCCTCCGCTTTATCTTCCATTAAACGCGCAACGATTGTTTCAACCAAGTCGACGTTATCTGCAATTTCTTCTGGGGATAAAACGGTTGGATCTTTTTTTTGGAACATTTTTAATAATTTTTCGTGTTTTAATAGTGTTGCGTCGAATATCATTCGTTTATTGCGTAATTCAGCTTCTGCTTGGTCCCTTTTTATTGTTAAACGTTGGAGTGCCATTTCGATTACATTTTCCATATCTTTTGGCCAAAGAAAAACGCGGCTATTTAAATTTATATCATCACCTGCAACGGAAATTTTATTGTATTAAGATTTTAGTTAGTTTTTAATAAAATATACTTGTTAAGATAGCATAATCCATAAGAAATAGAAGATTTTCTCCCGTCTCTCTAATATTTTCTTTCAATTTATAAAGAGTTACATCTCTGCTTTCAACGACATAGTTTTGTAGCGCTACGAGTTCTTGGACGGTTTCTGGGAGTTCGTTCATTTTTAAAGACATTTCATCGAAAGTGTTACATATTCTACAACAAGTTTATTTAAGATGAAGTTTTTTAAAAATTAAAATAAATTACGCTCTGTTGTTTTTATAATTTGCAGTAACAAAAATATTAACAATGTATAATCTCATGTCGCTAACGATTTGAATTAAATAATCGTTTAAATCGGACAATTCTAAACTAACCAAACCCAAAGGAATCGATCGACGCAACATAATCAATTCATCTTTCAAGTCGTCATAATACGCAATTCGTTTTATGATGTCTTTCATTAACGGGGGCGGATCAGATTTCATAAAATCTTTACATTGTTTATCGGCCTCTCCGGTTAACAAAAAATCGTACTGAGCGTACATTTCTAAATATTTATCGGGGCCCAAAATATTCGCGGCGTAAATGTTTCTTATTTCATCGAAAAGATCCATTATGACAACTTCATCGTCTTTAACCGCTATTAGGTAAGTTTCATTTTTCACGTAAGCCGGGAACATTATGTTTTCTAATCTTGGTAAATTGTAGTTTACTTCAAGAATTTTTTTTAAGGAATTTATCAAAATATCTTCAGCTGCTGCAATCGGCGGTTGAACCGTTATTTTTGTTGAATTGGGCGTTGGAACTGCAATTAGTTTTAGAAGTGGGATGTTTAGTACGGCTAAATCAACGTATTCGCCTTCGTAGTTATTTCCATCCTAAAAATAAATAAATAAATGTATGAGATTTTATTATTTTCATCAAGTTAATAGAAATAATCAATTAATAACAAAGGGGGCAAAGGGGTGGTCGTATATAACAAAAATTTATATTATTGTTAGTACTCTTTCAGTTAAAAAAAGGATTATGATGCTCAGTTTTGATATCCAAATAAATATTTCAAAATCACTCAGATTAGTTTAGTTCCATTTTTTTGCGGATAGATGGCGCGCTCAAGCTAATCTTCTCATTCTCAGTACATACTTCTCTACAAAAATGTTAGAAATCTTATTTTATCGATAGAAGAAACATTTTATTATTTCGAATATATAGTATTAAACATTTCATGTTCACCAATACATTGAAAAAGAAAAATTAGTAATATAAATCGTTACCAGGTGAATATTTCGCTTTTCCCCTATATTATCACGTGTTAGTACTCGATTACAATCGGAGATAGTTATTTAACAAGTATATCACCAGTTTATAAACACTTTTCGATAATTTCTCCACTTTAATATTCATTTTGAACTCTTTGATTTTATTTATGTCAACTATAAATAACTAATGTGATACCAACCTAAACTAAGTTAAATTTTATTTAAAGATATTTTTGCTTTATTTTGATTTAAATAAATAAAATATTTGATTAATTCGACTTAAATAAACAATTTTATTAATCCTTTAATGTTTTCTCTAATAAATTTATTTGATTTTATTAATAAGATTAATCAATAGGGAGTAATTTGATCGCCACCTCCTAGATGGTAGCACAAATAACTACTAAATCACTTTTTAATTCCTAATAATAATATAAAATTATAATTAAAAGTATTATTTAATTTGTTATTATTATTAAAATTAAAATATCAAAAAAGAAATTTTTAAACTAAATTCTCAACGTCAAACAATAATCGACATAACCTCACTTAACCTTCAAATTAAATGATAGCATTTTGACAGTTTATAAACAATAATTACCACAAAATTTAAATAAAAGTAAGTATAAACAATTCAATTTTTCAATATATATGTAATAAACATACTTTTTTTTAGAAATATTTACCTTGTATTTAATAAGCAACTCCATAAAATGATTCAAACTTTTCATCACCATTCCTCTTACTTGCAACGACATCAATGTATTCACGCAATTAAAAAACATCTCAATAACATCCATATTATCCCCTTTTTGCCTTGGAATGAAATGTTCCCATGTCGGTCTCAAATCACAGAAGATATCGGCGCATTCTTTTAACCAAACGTTGGTGAGTACATTTCGGGTTTTATTACAAAGTGCAATTAGAGTCTCTTCAAAACTTTCCATATGAAGAGGAAATTCTTGGTCTTCTTCAAGATCTGCAACATCCAAAATGCACATGTTGGTGTATCTGAAACATTTAATTTATTAATTTTAAATGGATTAAAGTAAGAATTAAATTTACTTTCTTTCCCATAAATCCCTAATTTTGATTATAGCCTCACATCCAATGAATAAATGTCGAAACAATCCCTCCCGGCTGTAAAGCATTGGTGTGTGCCACGGTACAGGAGCTCGAATTGTGAATGTTGGATAAGAATGAGGAAAAGATTCGATTTTTAATCGCCTGGCTTCGTTGAAATCTTGCAAAATGTATTTAAAAGTAGCAACTCGCATGTATTTGTTGTATAAAATATTTACTTCTTCTTTAAAAAGATCATCAATTAATTCATACATTTTTAATTTTTTGTATTTATCTGGAATTGTTGCCTTTGCTTTTACAAAGTAGTGTATGGGATATTCCGCGATGTGTTTATCATCAAAACCATCAGTTAAATAATAATTAATCCTATAAATATCTTCCACCCGAACCGGTTTAATCATTTCCTTAGCATTCCTTCGTAACATATCTCGTTTTTGATCGTCGGGATGAAACGGAAGATCAGCTTGAAATTTTTCCCAATTTTCAGGTTCAACAGTTTTCGGTTTTTCTTGTGATTGTTGTTTAGCGAGTCGTTTTAGTTTCCTTTTGGCCATTTTTTCCTCTTTCATACGTTTGTCTTCCCAATATGTTCCATTTAAAAGATCTCTAACGTCCACAATTCCGGGTACTTTAACGGTTTTTCGTTTTAATGCTGCTTCTTCTTCCTTTTTAATCCGATCTTGTTCTTCTTTAGTCATTGGTGGTGGATGTTGTAATTTTCCATCAGCCCCAAGTGGGTTTGCATGTGCTTTTTTCTTATATGGTGGTAAAAAATGAGTTTTTAAAACCATTGCACATGGTGTGTAAGATGCACCTTAAATAAATTTGTAATTCACAATTAGATTTTTATTTGTTATATTTTTGTTACAAAAAATTATTTATTTTTACCCATTGTTTCGTTTGGTTTGTAATACTCATAAGTGTCTTTGTAAGGAAGAGATTTTGTCCATGATTTTTTCGCGAATAATTCTGGAAATTTCATGCTGTCGTGGGCTCTTCCAACGAGGTAAGTTGGTTGCGGTTCTCCATATCTTCCGGCGTATGGCAACCATGGTAGTTCCGGGATAAGTCTTCTTCCACATTTATCGAATCTTGGAAGAGGATCTCCCATTTATATATTATATAAAACTTTTTAAATTGCTAAAAATGTTAAAAGATAAAATGGTCAATGTCAATAAGACATTCTGTTTTGAAGTTACCATAGAAACGGATTTGATGAACTTTTTAGAGGTAATTTTTTAATTTTTAAAGTTGGAGGTAAGTATAACTTAATTTTTCTTATTGTTGAGTAATAAGATGGTTTTCTAGAAAAACGTACGCGACAATTGAAGGAAATAACACAAATTTAGCCATTCTTTGAACATTATATAAAGCTACTCCATGACTCCAAACATTTCCGATCTCCTCTATACCTCTAATGAACTCAAAATAAGAGTTAATCATTAAAAAAAAGCATCAAAGGGGAGGATATCATTGAATCAAGCTAACTACTGTTCCCGGTAGGTTTTGGGTGAATTACCAAACATTGAAATCAACGGTGTTAACTCTCCTCATCATTTCTAAGAGACTATGAGATCACGGCAGTTGTAAATAACATCGTGCAACATGTCTTTGAGTAATGGAAAACCAAGAAAACGAAAATTGATGATACAACTTTGATAGCTGCATTAGAAGAGGAAATGGTGAATCTTCTAAACTGAGAGTAAAAAATGTGGTCTTAAGATTAACGCTGATATTAGAAAGAATAGGACTGGCTAAAAGTGCAATGAGTAGACTATCTAATTGTAAGATCTGGAAAGACCGCTCTATTACAAAAAGTACTAAAATAGGGCTTGTTTAATTACTGATCTTCTCCATCTTGCGATATGGGGCTGAAACATGGACAATTAAAGCAGCGGACAAAAAGAGGATTGATGTGTTTGAAATGTGGTATTACGAATTCCGTGACATTTTTTGCAGACATTATATGAAGAGATGATAATAATATGGAGATATTGATAGTATTGGGAAATGTGGAGGGACGAAGATCCAGTTACTACAAGTTTTACTGACAGCACACGTTGCTAATGATCACGGTTTTCAATAATGAAAGAATGACTATAAAGAGAGAAAAAACTTTTTTAGGTTGATATGATTCTTAAATCATTTGTTTTACCAACAGTTTTATAATAATAATAATCTTTATTATCCAAACGGAAATACATTGTTCCCAAATTAGTTGAGCCTAAAGTTTTGAAAGTAAAATGTACGCAGAAAAATTAAAGTAATGGACACATATAAGATGTCAGAAAGAGCAGTACAAAAACAGAACCAATGTAACATAAAACAGAAAATTACATCTTGAAAAATAATACAGGTCGAATGTTTTAAGGACACTACCCGACACTTTGTTAATATGTTCGGTAAAAGTCAAAGATCCATCAAACCATATCCCAAGGTCCTTCACAGTAGAAATGCGCGATAGATGATTCGTCCCAACCCTATACTCAAAGTACACAATGTTCCTTTTCTGGCTATGCTATCACCTGATACTTGGATGTATTTAGGATCATTCTGTTGTCAGTACACCATAAAAAATACCATAACAAACCAATAAATAGTTTAAGATCATCTGCGTAGTGAAGCACGCTGGCAAATCGTTCACAAAGACATTAAATAGTAGAGGGCCAAGAATGGAACCATGAGTTACGCCACTAGTAAGATTTATATACCTAGATTTAACACCACTCAGTTCAACGTACTGTCTACGATCAGACACATAAGACGTAAAGGAAAGATCAAACAGTCAAATGCCCGTAAGAAATCAGTATAAACTACATCAAGTTGTCCGCGAGAGTTTAATGCGGCAGATACATATTGAACAAAACTTAATAAGTTAATGGTAGCAGATTTACCTCTATAAACCATTCTGACATTCAGCTTTGCAAAGTTATTGATGATGGCTATTGGTCGATAATTCGCTACACAGCACTTATCCCCCTTCTTGTAAACGGGGGAAATCTTGCTTAATTTCCATATCTTTGGAAATTCATAGTTTTTGATTATTAAGTTGAAAAGCAAGCAGTCCTTGACTAAAAATGCAGGTCCCATCTGAGCTCGTTGTAGTCTTTATCTTGAATTGTGTATTAAGTCAAGGCCACTGTAATACAGGAATACCATATCAACACTACACTGGTGTCAAATAACGTACTGGTTCGGCTGCAAACGGTCTCGGCTTAATACACTCTTGCGGGCGAGGCGCTACAGATAATACCATATCAACACAACACTGGTGTCGAATAACGTACTGCCTCTGTTTAATACACGATGTCATACTATTAAGCCGAGGTCGCTGGCGGGCGAGGCGCTATAGTTAATACCATATAATCACAACACTGGTTTCAAATAATGTACTGCCTTGGCCGTAAGCGGCCTCTCACCGTTATAATTAATAGCATATCAACACTACACTGGTGTCAAATAATGAACTGCCTCGGCTTAATACACGATGTTATGGTATTAAGCCGAAGTCGCTTGCGGGCGAGGCGCTACAGGTAATACCATATCAACACAACACTGGTGTGAAATAACTTACTGCCTCTGTTTAATACACGATGTCATACTATTAAGCCGAGGTCGCTTGCGGGCGAGGCGCTACAGTTAATACCATATAATCACAACACTGGTTTCAAATAATGTACTGCCTTGGCCGTAAGCGGCCTCACCGTTATAATTAATAGCATATCAACACTACACTGGTGTCAAATAATGAACTACCTCGGCCGCAAGCGGCCTCGGCTTAATACACGATGTATAGTATTAAGCCGAGGTCTCTTGCGGGCGAGGCGCTACAGGTAATACCATATCAACACAACACTGGTGTCAAATAACGTACTGCCTCTGTTTAATACACGATGTCATACTATTAAGCCGAGGTCGCTGGCGGGCGAGGCGCTATAGTTACTACCATATAATCACAACACTGGTTTCAAATAATGTACTGCCTTGGCCGTAAGCGGCCTCGCCGTTATAATTAATAGTATATCAACACTACACTGGTGTCAAATAATGAACTGCCTCGGCCGCAAGTGGCCTCGGCTTAATACACAATGTTATAGTATTAAGCCGAGGTCGCTTGCGGGCGAGGCGCTACAGGTAATACCATATCAACACAACACTGGTGTCAAATAACGTACTGCATGTTTAATACACCAGTAATACACGATGTCATACTATTAAGCCGAGGTCGCTTGCGACCTTACTGTTATAATTAATACCATATCAATACTACACTGGTGTCAAATATTGGACTACCTCGGCTTGGTAACAGAGCGTTATACTTTCTCTGTCCTAACTAAATCAAAATTGATTGTGGCCAAAGCTCTGTAACTCATGTTGACCAATATTATATTGAACGTTTGAGCGCCTCGCAAGTGGCCGCGACTTAACGTCCTCATTAATCATTCTTGGTCGCTTACGGCCGAGACGCTACAATTCACAGCATATCAATACTATATTGGAGAATCCAATATAACAAAATAACTTTATCTACAATTTTTTTTTTAAATTTAATTTTCTTTCAAAATGAGTGACTTCATAACCTCAAAAGATAACATTAAAAAACAAAACATTTTCCAAACAAATTTTTTGACAACCCCATAATGTCTCCGAAAATGTTGAAGTTTTCATAATCTCCCCTCAAAAAAAAAAAAACTTCAAACCCCCAAAAAAATTGATGAGTGTTCAAAATGCATAGACGCCAAAGCGGCTTGAAGGCGTTCAGAGATGGATCGAATCGTTTGGTAGCCAATAAACAAACCAACACGCCGAATAATTTCGTATTATGTTCACTTTGCGAAGAGAAATTTAACCCGAAAAATTTACCGAATGGATGTTTAGGCGATCAAGAACGAAGCATTCGCGAATACAGCAACGCCCTCGATTACATTAACTCCTGTCATTCGATCATAAACCACATGATGGCTCAAAACAAAGAGTTCAAAGAAAGTTTCGTGGCGATGCCGAACGTGCCTAACTTTTTAGAATTATTTTCGGTACTTTTAACGCAAGATTTTGAATCGAAACGTCACCAAAAAGAAGTTTTTGAACCGCGCAATACAAGATCGGGAATTATTAAGAAAAACGATGATGGTCATAACAGGCTTGTTTCGGATAGTGAGACGTCCGACTTTGAATCGGAAGTTTTTATTCGCGCGAGTAAAACGAATTTACAAAAATTTAAAAGCAAGTTACCACGAACTGAGGAAACCATTTATGAAGAAGAAAACCAAGAGAATGTTGTAACGAAAAGATCGAAAAGCGTTAAAAAATCACCGACTTCATCACCTCAAAGAAGTATGAGATATAGTGATGCTACTTTACCGAGTACCCAAGAAGTTAGCAATAAAAGAAGTAAACCAAGATCTTACTCGGCGAATGCACCAAGAACGAAAAACGTGATTGAGAAAAAAAGTGGGCATGATTTAAGCGGAAATTATTCTGACACTGTTATTAGTGGAAGTTGTAAACAAAGCGATTTAACTCAACAAGATTTAGACAAATATGCCAAAGAACTTCTTGGGTCTGAACAAGGAACTCCTATTCATTCCCCAAGATCAAGTAATTTTAAATTATAAATTTATTTTTTTAAATTAAAGCAAAAATTTTTAGCCTCCCCGCATAATCGAACCCCAAACAACGAAAAATCCCCAACAAGATCTACCAGAAAATCCCCCAAACCAACATCTCCAAATCAATCAGGTCATCGTTACACAGAAATCTTAAAAACGCGCTATTCCGATACTCAACACCGCCAAAATGCAACTTTAGCGGACTCTTCAAAACCACCTTCATTACAAAAAGTGACACACACCATGGAAGCAACTCCATCTCAAAATTTAGATCAAAATGGGCATCATAACCAAAATATTCGGCGCCAAAATCAAATTAAACGTCAAAAACCGTCGGTTAGTCAATCGATGACAGATCAACAATCTCCGAGTAGATCCCAACCAATAGGTGTTAAAATATCTTCACAACCCGGTAGTAATTACGCGTTTTTTGGCAAAGAAAAAATAATCAACGAAGAAGTTCCGTATGAGATGCAAGATTTTGCCCAAATTAATAAAAATCGCGCGAAAATATCTTGCGATAAAGACCAAGATGTATACGAGGGTCGCAAAGTAAACTTAAGAACAACCCCGTCGAAATTGGGCGTGCAAAAAGGAAAATTAAAGGAGCAATTTAATATGAGGAAATTATCGCCGTCTGATATGAAAATAATCGAATCTCAAGTTAAGTTGTTTGTTGGTCAACATGTTAATGAATCGGATGGTATTAAAACCGATTCGGATATTGAAGAAGATTGCAGTAGTAAGATTTTAAATTAATTTTAAATTTCATTAAATCGTTTTATATTAATTTAGAAAAGCAAGTTGAAGATCGGCCGGTAAGAATTAGCGATGAAAGGCCGCCGAAAAATTTTAGGAGGAAACAATCAGAATCGGAAGACGATGAAGTGGTGAAATTTCCGGAAGAACATGCTTATTCAACGACGACGGATGGTTACCAAAGGATCCATCAAATCGGGAATAATCAAAAAAAAAATGCAATTTCGGATGAATCTTCGGATATAAAAAGCGATGACGATGTCGTTTATGATCAACGGAATTCGCGGCCGGTTAACGTTCATCGAAGAACGACAGGTAATTATCCGTTTAATTATGCGGCGGTTAGACATTAATAAATTTTCAGTGGAATCGTGTGTGTTTTTAAGATTGTTATTCGTAAGTGTCGCATCTTTTTTATATATTTTTTTAATGAAATCAATAAATGTGTATTGACTACATTTTAATATATTCTGTTTTATCAATACCATCTTTCAGCTGATGTACCTATTTCAAAAAAGATTAGTCGAAAATATGCCAAGGAGGCTAAACGCTGTCCAAACATACTTAGAGCTCCTTGATGCAACATGCGAAGCAGCTAAGAACACAAAGGATTTCCAAAAATAAAAAGCATACTAGAAATGGCTAAATCAAGTTACACCAGGAAACAAAGCTAATTGTAGAAAGGAACTGTCAAAATATAAAAAAATTTTTAAGACTACCTTAGACGATACATGGGACAAAAAGTGTAAGGAACTATACTAGTTAGGAACCTAGTACGATCCTTAAAAAGCAATAACAATGAAAAATTAAACATACAACTCATACCTGCATCAGTTTGGAAAGAACATTATGGAAGCGAATTGACAGAACAAAGACCTCAGTTCATACAAACCCCAGAAACTCATAGAGTAGAAGGACCTGCGAACCAGGTAAAAAATGCACTAAACTCAATGAAAAACAACAAGGCAAGCGATCCAGAGGGGTTTCAAATTGAACTAATAAAAAAAAATTCCATAGGCTTGGAAGAAAACTCTAATTCATAAAAGAGGAGATGGAAAGAACTGTAATAACTACCGATGTCTAACAATCACAAATTCCTTCTTACGGTCAAATAGTCAAAAAATTTGATACAAGAAGAATGGGCACCATGTGAAATGGATAATATATTCAGTGTAAACCAAATCACAGAGAAGAAAGTAGCTACAGGAAGAACACATCTCTTATTTGTGCAATGGAGTCCAAAAAAAGTGATGTCTGAAAGAAACCAGGCTGGAGGTTTGCAATCGGAAGTCGAAAAACGCTATAAACCACCATTATATATACATATAAACAGCTAATCTGTCAACATTGTCCTAATTGCTTGACTTTGTCTCCACTCTATTTAATATCATTTTTGATATCATTCAACATAGACATCATTGGTCTTCCTCAACATCGTGTTTGGATCTTCTTACATCTCCTCGCGATATTTTGGCTTCCCTCAACATCTTGCCCATCGTTCTTAATTATTAAACATTGTCCCTGACTTCTCTCAGTATCATTCTTGATATCTTCTGTATTGCCTATGGCATCAACATCCATTGATCGTTTTCATGCTGATCTTTTCCAACATTGTAGATTGATATTCGTTTTCATCTATGTTAATAAGACTAAAATATTGCTTTTGTATTTGGTAATAACTAATAACTATGATAAGGAGAATTTTTATTGAAAAAACTTATCTTACCTCTTAAAGGGGTCCTCATGGCGACGATACTTCTTGACATCCATCGTTAAGATTGGAAGTTGGAATTAGTTCTGATTGGAATCGTCGATTTTTGCAGTATTTATACGATTCTCGATGAAGAAATGTTGCTTTATCAAACGTGTACCAGTCACGAACCTTTTTTGGTGTGGTAATTGCTTTGGAATTTTTTGGGTAATGTTAAAGTTTGATAAAGGCTATCGGCAAATTCTTTTCCAATAATAGAATTACCTGCGACGATTCATTATAATGAAATTCTCGAAGAATTCTTAATCTGAAAAAGTTTGTTAACTCAAGTTATGTCAGAAAAAGTGGAAATTTCAAAAAAATCACATCGATCTTAATTTGAAGAGTTTGAATGTGATTTATATCTCAAATTGAAGATAAAAAGTTCAATACCTGCATAATATGTAGAAATAATGGGGTAACATATAAAATATTTGTAGAAAAAAACATCTAATAGGAAAAGTTGTTCTTTAAGGTTATGTAAGAAAAAGCAACAAATCACCCAGATCTTGTCTTGAAGAGTTTCGATGTGATTTATATCTCAAATTGAAGGTAAAAAGTTCTATTTTTAGACTATGTGTAGAAATAATGAGGTAACATACAAAATATTTTTAGAAAAATCTAATAAACTAAATCCTCCGTTTAAACTAAACAATTACTCCTGCCATCTAGTGGCACTGAACCGTGTTAAAACCTAGTTTGACATTTCAAGTCACCGTTTGCTACTCTTCCTAAAATATACGATTTTTACAAAAAAAAATTTAATTACACCGGAAAAGCTTTTATTAATACTTTAATCATTGATTAATTCCGAAATTTAAGTTTTATTTAATTAATAAGTTTTAATGAAAAGACCTTATTAAACAATTGCTCCCGCCATCTATCGGTAATCAACCGTATCAAATTAAGTTTTTTTTTGACGTTTTAAGCGTTTGTGACTTCCTAAAAAACGCGGATTTTTAGAATAAAAGTGTTTAAGTAAACCTCGAAACTACTCAAAATACTTTTTTAAACACTCAATGTATTCATTTCGAGTGATTTAAGATCCCAAAACGTGATTTTTTTGCTTCAAATGAATCTTCGAAGTTTTGACAGAAACAACTTAACCTTACGACCTTGACGATTTAAAATGTTTGTGATTTTAAAATATTGGTGTGATTATTGCAGAAAAAACATAGTAAGTCTTATTAATTATCTAATTAATTACATAATTTATGTTTATTAATTAATAGATTTTAATAAAATCTATTTTTAGAATCAAGGTTGTTGGATGCTTAGACTGTCATTTGTTTTTTTAATTTTTAACTCAACTTTATTTATTTATTTATTTCCGGAAAAAACTGAGAATTAATAAATGAAACATTTTAATGTTAAATTGATTAATTTAAACGAAAAATTAATAATTTTTTTAAATTTTAAAAGTTATCCTTCATTTAAACGACTACACCCGCCATCTAGTGGCAACGACCCATATCAAATCGTATTTTGACATTTAAAATCACCGTTTGGTACTATTCCTAAAATACGTGATTTTTACGAAAAAATAGTTTAATTACACTTGAAATGCAATCAAAACACGTTTATAAGCACTCAAACTACATATTTCTGGTTATATTATTATTTAAGACCCCGCAAAGTGAGTTTATTGCTTCAAATTAATCAGCCAAGTTTGACAGGACATAACCTAACTTTTTTATCTTGTCAATTTGAAAATTAACAAAAATATTTTGAAATATCTTTATTTATGTTTGGTTTTATTTCTTCCAGATCATCCAGTACCATTCCGATGTGTCCGTTGAACTGTCACGTAGTGAAGAAAAAGCGAAATCTAATAAATTTGATATCGCTGAGTTTTCTGCTGTCACTTAGAGTGATAATGGTAAGATTTCAGAGTCTATATTATTATGTTAAGTTGTTAATCTGGTTTTCTAATCAGATCTTATCGTCCAACGAGATCGTATTCATTTGGGATATGTCACTATGTTTTTTTTAGATCAAGATTTTGCATCAAATTAATCAATCTGTCAGATACTTGTCTTAGAGGATTAACGTTTTATCCCTTTTATTACATCTATAACTGAAAACCCATAAAGGAAATGAAAATCAAAAACTTTATTAAATCAGAAAAGGCGTATTTATTATTAATAATAATTGTTTTTAAATTATTTACGATACAATTGATTAGATAATTGGTTAACATGGTATGTATTGATAAAGTTGGAGTGGTTTCGCTTAATCATCCAAAACATATGCTTCATAAGCATCTTATCTCCACTTAATAATGCGTCAATTATTATATATATTGTTAGGAGGCCTTCAAAAGTGTTAAATCAGTCGCAAATTCCGGTAAATTAAGTGTTTATTTTAACTTGTGGTTTCCTTAATAATAATTAATATGACTATGGATGGGGATGACGGAGGTGGCCATGGTGGACATCACGGAGGCGACCATGGTGGACATCACGGTGGGCATCATGGTGGCGACCATGGTGGACATCACGGAGGCGACCATGGTGGACACCACGGTGGGCATCATGGTGGCGACCATGGTGGACATCACGGAGGCGACCATGGTGGACATCACGGTGGACACCACGGTGGACATCATGATGGACATCACGGTGGACATCATGTTGGACACCACGATGGGCATCATGAAGGACATCATGATATTCATCATAGACCCCACATACCACCGTCCTCACGTGTATATCCACACCGTCCCAGACCAAGATCAGAGTGTGTTTGCTGCACGATTCTTTAAAACAATGTTAAAACCACCACAAAAATTTAAAAAGGTATTTATTACCAAAAAGATTGACTACATTTTTTTCAATTATAATATTTAATTTATAGAAAGATAAATAATAATTGCTTCGTTAATTCTTCGGCGTCTTCTTAATAAGTCGTAATAAAATTTTTATTAAATAGTGCAACAATTACAAGAGCAACACCCACAGCAGCAATTAACACCACATCCGCAACAATCATAGCAACCACTGCTGTCTGGTTGTGAATGATCTGGAATTATTTCAATCGGTGGGTTGGGAGCTATTTCCGGTTGTATCTCAATGGGGGGTGCCCAAGCTGTTTGATCTTCGGGAGGCATGTGCCACGGTGGAGGTGGATGATTTCATGGATCATAAGGAGCAGCCGGCCATCTTCCTTCGGGGTCATCACCCATCATATTGTTACACCGGGGTTGCACTGGGGTTGGTTTATTTGAAATAAAACTGGTCTTTAACTGGGGGTTTACAATTATTTTATTTTATTCTGATTAAAGTTATTTAATTCTCGAAAGAGTAAGACAGACTGACTTGATGTTAGAAATAACAATTATCATTGCGACGACGGCGACTGAAAATGAAAAATTAAACATACCGCTCATACCTGTATCAGTTTAGAAAGAACATTATGGAAGCAAATTGACAGAAGAAAGACCTCAGTTCATAACACAAACCTTAGAATTGAATCAAGGCGGTACATGAATTATACAGAGGGGCAAAAGACATCATTGGTCTTCCTCAACATCGTGTTTGGTATCTCCTTACACCTCCTAATATAGTCTTCACGAAATTTCGGCTTCCCTCAACATCCTGTCCATCGTCTTCCAACATCGTTTTTAATTATTAGATATTGTCCCTAACATCTCTCAATATCATTCTTGATATCTTCTATATTCCCTATGGCATCAATATCGTGTTTGGTTTCGTTTATAGATATATATACACTTTCCCTACCTTCCAAGTATTAACATAGTCTTTGCTGTCATTTAACATCATCATGGACGCTGATCTTTTCCAACATTATAGATTGATATTCATTTTCATCTATGTTAATAAGGTTAAAAATATTACTATTATTAGAATCTTTATTGAAAAAGTTTAACTTACCTTTTAAAAGGGTCCTCATGACGACGATATTTCTTGACATCCATCGTTAAGTTTGAAAGTTAGAATTAGTTCTGATTGGAATCGTCGATTTTTGCAGTATTTATACGATTGTTGATGAAGAAATTTTGTTTTATCAAACGTGTACCAGTCACGAACCTTTTTTGGTATGGTAATTGCTTTGGAATTTTTTGGGTAATGTTAAAGTTTGATAAAGGCTATCGGCAAATTCTTTTCCAATAATAGAATTACCTGCGACGATTCATTGTAATGAAATTCTCGAAGAATTCTTAATCTGAAAAAGTTTGTTAACTCAAGTTATGTCAGAAAAAGTGGAAATTTCAAAAAATCACATCGATCTCAATTTGAAGAGTTTGAATGTGATTTATATCTCAAATTGAAGATAAAAAGTTCAATATCTGCATAATATGTAGAAATAATGGGGTAATATATAAAATATTTGTAGAAAAAAACATCTAATAGGAAAAGTTGTTCTTTAAGGTTATGTAAGAAAAAGCAACAAATCACCCAGATCTTGTCTTGAAGAGTTTCGATGTGATTTATATCTCAAATTGAAGCTAAA